ACACAGTAGCTTTCCGAATTACAGAACCTTGTAAACCGCTTGAAATAATTTCTTCTCTCTCTCTCTCTCTCTGTATGTGTCTGTATCTGCGCGTCTGCCTGCCTGCCATCTGACCCTAATTGTCTCTTTCTCTCTCTCTCTCTCTCTCTCTCTTTCTTTCTCTCTCTCTCTCAATCTGTGTGTGTGTGTGTGTGTGTAGCAGTCTATATGTGCATGAATATGAGTGAGTGAGTGAGTGTGTGTGTGTGTGTGTGTGTGTGTGTGTGTGTGTGTGTGTGTGTGTGTGTGTGTGTGTGCGTGTGTGTGTGTTCATAACGGTGAATAGGACAAACGCACACAGTCATTAACCGATAGCTGTAAAACTATCGTTAGCGACTACAAACGCCGAAAGTCATCGAACCTAAAGCACTTTTGATTAATCGAGACTCTGGAAGAATTTAATGACATCATAAAAGTAAAAAAAAATCAATGCCTTTCCATATGTACTTTAGACGAGGCAGAAAACACGTGGCGTCTATTATTCAAAAAGATTTCCAGTGAAATTGTATCAAAAGTATATTTTGGTGAAGGTGCATTTAATCTGAGAATGAAAAGGAGTTATTTGCCTTAGCCTAATTGACAATTAGTGTCTGCGAAACACGAAATAAAAGAATGAATAGTTAAATAAACATGTGATTTACCTTTGAAACATGAGCTTACATGTCACATTTCTCTTAATTAGAAATATACTGTTTTTAACACTTTGTAACTGAATATAACCAATGAAAAACGCAGGATTATTAATTGCTATAAAACGATACACTAGATCGTATATACATTACAACACAAATATATATATTCTATTTCAGTTTTCTTCCTCCTGACCCTACCCTTGCTCAGTGAATTTACAATATCTTTGCTATTTACAAAGGATAAACTCCCGTTATCTCACTTGTGAAACTCATAAAGTAGTCGATGATTTGTATAACAACACTGATGAAAGGTGCATGGCATGTAGGGTATGTAATTACCATGCAAAATGCATCAAGGGACGAGCGAAAAGAAGGGGAGAATTTGCAATATATGGTGGTGCACTTTATCCCAAATATTAGTATTTTATGAGGAAGGAAAGTGTTTTTTCTGTGCTTTAAAAATATGTGTGCATCAGCTTTAACAAATAGAATTGTATTTATATTACATTTATCACTGAGCATTGCGAGAGATCCGAAGGTTTTATCTTGTCTGTTTTAGTCTCGATTTGCAATTTATTTTATCCTTGAATTTAAAAGAACTTGCAGCAGACTGTCAACAAACGATATATAAAGTTTATACCTTTATATAGCTTTAATTAGACAAATACAATAATTATGTCCCTACTAATACTGAATGCACTGCAGGCTCAATATATTGATAAGGATTCTTTAAGCCCGGAAAGCCTGGTTAAAAGACAAAGAAGTAACACGGAAGTACAACAGCTTTGAGATGATTTTTATGCTGAACATTAAATGAAAAAGGGTGGAAAGGAACATTTGTTGAATATGTTATTTCCATACGTGTCCTATGTTATTTGTTATTTCATTTATTTATCTATTATTATCATTATATATTTTTTTCATATAAGAATAATATCCCACGTGCAAAATATTAGACTTGAATTGTACGTCCTCTATGCATTTTCTATGTTTTAAAAGTATACTCATGTATCCTTATGTTCTCATAGTCGCACTCTCATGCAAGTCGATTCATATCCCCAGATCTAAACGCAAAATAAGAGTTTCAACGCAACCCACACACCGCAATTCCTCTGCAGCAAATCCCAGGGTCTTCCAACACGTCACTCTGGTCGAAGGATAAGCCCTTGTCACAGATAAATCCCAGGAGCTTGACTGCAGCCAGTGAAGGGAGGCTGGCTGTTGACACGGGCTGTTAATGACGTGGTTATTGTCGTTTGTGTTTTCCTTGCTTTTGAGTTGCAGGGGAGAGGGAGGGAGAGGGAGAGGACGGGATGAAAGGGGACGGGGAGAGGAACAGGAAGGGATGGATGAGAAGACACACACACACACACACACACACACACACACACACACACACACACACACACACACACACACACACACACACACACACACATATATATATACATACATATATACACATATGTACATATTTTCATATAAAGAGAGAGAAATACAAACACAGACTGACACACACACACAGAGACCATTGGAAGAGAAAAATGGACACATACAAAGGGAATGAGAAAGACACAAACAGACAGGGAGAGAAAACACACGCAAAGTTTCCTCGGACGAATCGTCTCCACTTAAATAAATTACGGGCGACGGGTTTGCCAGCCTTAAAACGATTTCGGGTTTCCTAGATTGAAAAATATTTACACTTTCTTGCCTCTCGCCTTAGCTGCCACCTTATTTTTTTTTCACTCTCTCTCTCAGCCGTGACACAGAAAAACACTGAATTGCTTTTGGTATTAAGTGTAAGACCGTTGTATCTAGTGAGAGTA